TATAAAGGCCTCCTGAGACCTCCCTCTGGGAGCGGCAGGAGCTCGCGGATGATGATGTCGCTGCTGATGATGTCGTTCATGTTGTGATCATGACAATGCTGACGCTGATGCTGATGATGATGCCGACGACGATGAGAATGACGATGACGACGACGACTATAATAATGGTGGTGATGCTGATGATGATGATGATGATGATGATGATGCTGTTAATGCTGTTGTTGCTGCTGAGTTTGATGCTGATGGTGGTGGTGGAAGCGATGAAGATGATAATGATGACGATGTCGGCTTTGTTGGTGACGATTATGGTGACGATGCTGATGGAGATACTGATGATGACGATGCTGATGATGATGACAATGATGATGAGGGAACATAACACGATGATGTTGATGCTGCTGCTGCTGTTGATGGCGATGTTGGTAGTGATGATGCAAGCGATGCTGCTGCCCCCAGGCGCAAGAAATCGAGACTCGAACCGGCACATCGGATCGGCGATCGAAGTGAATCGCTTCGGCGGAAATCGGCAGCCGAATCGGGAGAAATCGAATCGGCGGAAATCGACAAACAAATATGGCTCCAATACGGACTTGGACTCCCAATCGGAATCCGGAATCGAATCGAATCGGAATCGGAAACCATCGAAGTCGAACGGACTCGAGTCGGAGGAATCGAAACGAGCCATGCAGACACCCAGACTGGACGGCCGCTGCGCTAAGTCTCTGCTGTCTAAGGCCAGCAAGGGCCATACCCGGCAGCCGCCCCTTTTCGCCTAGGCCCTCGTAGATGATGAGGATGACGATGATGATGATGCTGATGACAATGATGATGATGATGATGATGCTGATGATGATGATGATGACGATGACGATAATGATGATGATAATGCTGATGATGATGACGATACTGATGATGCTGATGAGGATGATGAGGGGACATGCGACGATGATGGTGCTGCTGCTGATGTTGATGACGACGATGTTGGTGGTGATGATGCAGGCGATGATGCCGGTGATGTTTATGATGCTGATGGTGATGACGATGATGATGATGCTGATGCTGATGATGCAAGTGTGGTGTCGTGATGATGATGATGATGATGATGATAAGATGGTAACGATTATGATTATGATGAGGAGTAAGATGATGATGATGATGATGATGATGATGATGATGATGATGATGATGATGATGATGATGATGATGATGATGATGATGATGATGATGATGATGATGATGATGATGATGATGATGATGATGATGATGATGCAGAAGATGAGTCAACACGTCCACGATGGCACCCGTGATGTCTCCAAGAGACGGCCTCTAAGATCGCTCTACGGCGGCTCAAGTGGGCCTCCAGCGTGACTTCAACATGTCCCAGGACGGCCCGAACATGGATCGTGATGGCCATGGACCTCCCACAAGGATGCCCCCAATATATCGAAACAATCCTCCCTTGAAGCCATGTCGTAAACCTTGTCGGCTTTTCGATTCCGATGGGCTTCTGCGGCCTTCCTGTAGGAACAGGGCCTCAGAACAACAACAAGTTCGGTCGGCTGCACCTGAAAATGGAGAGGCCGACTTCCCTGTGCCCGTCCTGGTCCACTTCGGCCCCTCGCCCTTCGTCCAATCGACGACGTGTCAAGCAATGCAAATGTTTTTCAGAGATCCAGGTCCGCTTCGGCACCCGACTCGGTCATTTGAAAGGGTGGGAGAAGGGGCGGTCGGATGCCATGTGTGGCGAGCGCACACTTCGCTCGCCCTCCTCCACCCTCTCCCCTTCTCCTCCCTGACCTCCCCTCGTCCTCGTCCTCCTCCTCCTCCTCCTCCAACTCCTCCTCCTCCTCCTCCTCCTCCTCCTCCTCCTCCTCCTCCTCCTCCTCCTCCTCCTCCTCCCCTTCTCCTCCTCCTCCTCCTCCTCCTCCTCCTCCTCCTCCTCCTCCTCCTTCCTTCTCCTCATAGATAACTCCTCCCTGTCGCACCCCGAGGACAGTTTTTAGGGCGGGTCGGGTGTTTCGCCTGAGACTTCCTCAGCGCGTACGACTCTGAAGCTTGAAAACTGACAGCATATTCACAGATGGAGGGCGGGTCGCTTTCAAAATGTGGCTCTCGCCTTAGCGCCGCGCACATTCGTTTGAACAATTTGCAACAGTTTCACGGATTGAGGGCGGGTGGTTTTCAACATGTGGTCCTCGCCTTAGCGCCGCGCACAGTCGTATAAAACATTCGCAAGAGCCTCATGGAATGAGGGCGGGCCGTTTTCAAAATGTGGTTCTTGCCCTAACGCCGAACACATTCATTTTACAAGCTAACAAGGAGATTCACGGATTGAGGGCGGGTCGTTTCCAAAATGTGGCTCTTGCCTTAGCGCCGCGCACATCCGTTTCAAACAGTTGCAAGGGTTTCACGGATTGAGGGCGGGTGGTTTTCAACATGTGGCTCTCGCCGTAGCGCCGCGCGCATTCGTTTTAAACAGTTGCAAGAGTTTCATGGATTGAGGGCGGGTGGTATTCAACATGTGGCTCTCGCCTTAGCGCCGCGCACATTCGTTTGAAACAGTTGCAAGAGTTTCATGGATTGAGGGCGGGTGGTTGTCAACATGTGGCTCTCGCCTTAGCGCCGCGCGCATTCGTTTTGTCTTTAAATGTGCACGAGTTTCACGGATTCCCACGATCAACGTGCCAACACTGTGGTTTTGGAAGGATTCTGGATTATGCAGGCGCAACAGTTATATTGATTCGCTGTGTTAAAATCCCAGCAATGAATTTTCTGGCACGATTCTGGATCGTCGAAACGCAGCACTCAGGGTGATCCTTGGCGTTGAACTCCAGAGAACAATATTTTGATTCTGGATTATGCAGGCGCAGCAGTTATATTGATTCGCTGTGTTAAAATCCCAGCAATGGATTTTCTGGCACGATTCTGGATCGTCGAAACGCAGCACTCAGGGTGATCCTTGGCGTTGAACTCCAGAGAACAATATGTTGGCACGCTTCAGGGTCTTCAAACGGTTGTCTTGAAACGAGGCAGCTCCCTCAAAGGAAATGAAACGTTGTAGGGGCCTATTAGGAGGGAGCTTGGAGGGAGGGCTAATTTCAACATCGTTGATGACTCTTGGGTTTCCACTGGTCCTCCTCCTTCTCCTCCTTCTCCTCCTACTCCTCCTCACTCATCCTCCCTCCGTAGCCATTTTGGCTCAGGCCGCCCGCAACGCGCGAACCCCCTGGGCTCAAGCCTGCTCGGCATGTTCTGATCGCTGCGGTGCCTGGGGTGGCTGCGGCAGATGTGCCCCCTCGGCGGTGGCAGAGGGTTGAGGACACGGCGGCGCGGCGTGAGCGGCGTGCCCGCGCTGTGGCAGCAGCTGGTGGAGCAGCGCGGCGGGCCCAGGACCCTGCCGCGAGCCCCGCCGAGCGGCTGCAGCTCGCCGCAGAGGCGCTCGGTGCCCTTGTGGGCGGCGACGGCCACCTGGCGGTCAGGGTGCTCATCGTGCTGCCCGCCCCGAGGCAGCCCGCCTCCGGGCAGCAGCCTGAGAGTGGCTGGCCCGCCTGGGGCGCAACGCGGCGCCTGACGCCGAGGAGCGCTGCCTGGCTGGGCGCATCGGCGAGGCATCCGCGTCTGAACTGCGCGCCGCCCAACGCGGGCCGCGGCTGGGCAGCTCCGGCGCGCATGGGGAGCCCGAGCTGGACGACGCTGCCGAGAAAGGCGGGGTTCTGCATGCAGAGGCGGAGGCGCATGCGGGTACGGCCCACGCGACGATCCTTGTGGAGCAGGAGACGCTTTCGCCCGATCAGCCGTCGCCTGGACGTCGCTGAGGGCCTACGGGGCGGATTTCGTCCCAATCGCAGGCGCTGCGGTCTCCGTGATGGAGCCCGTCGGCGTTCGTGCACGTTTGGCACCGTGGTGTACCCGAGCGTCCTGGTCCCCTTCGAGGTGGTGTGCTGCCAGCCTCTGGCCGCGGGCGACGCCTTTTGGGCCCCATATGGGGGATGACTGCCCTGCGGCTGGAGCTGCGGGTGCTGTTGCCGAGGAGGGGCCAGGAGTGATGGAGGCTGCCTCTCGCATGCCTTTGGGGGCGGAGGAAAGGAGGTCGGAGTCGGTGGACGTGATCGGGGGACAGTGAGCTGGCGAGCCAGTGCCGACGGGCACGGCTCCTGAAGGATATGGATTTCTTCCACGGGGCTGCTCGGCACCAGTCGGTTCGGTCATCGTTAGAACAGCTGGACGTGGGTACCCTGTCGCACAGCCCTCCACTGGCCATAATCGAGACGGCCACAGTAACGGCGCAGCCCGACTTGGGGTCCTTACTGCGCGAGGTGGGGACGGCAACGGCCGCGATAGCAGCAACAGCCACGCCCGCGCAGCTGGAGTCAGCGGGGAGCCCAACAGATTGCAAGCAGGCTCGAATCATGAATCACTGGCACCAGGCAGGTTCCGCAGATGCTGGACAAGGAGGAGGAGGAGTAAGGGAAGGAGGAGGAGGAGGAGGATGAGGAGGAGGGGGAGGAGGAAGGGAAGGAGGAGCATAGAGGCATGGGCGACGAGAGCAGGGACACCTTGCTTCGTGGATGGGCCGCCCCCCCCAATCGGGCAGGGGACGGGCGCTGCGCGATACGCGAGGCAATTGGATGACCCATGCTTCCCGTGTACTCTGCCTGCGGCGCCCTGCGCTGCTCGTGGTGCGGCGACGGTGTCTGCTTCTGCATCCCGGAGTCCTGCCACGCCGTCGCGTCCCTCGTCAAGCTCAGGGTTGTGATGATCGTCGGAGAAGACTTTGTCATCGTTTCCACCCCCACTCCCATTCCCAGTCCTTCTCCTCCTCCTCCTCCTCCTCCTCCTCCTCCTCCTCCTCCTCCTCCTCCTCCTCCTCCTCCTCCTCCCCCAGCCAACCTCTTGCCAAGCCTCGGCCCAGATGACAGAGAGATGGAGAGAGAAAGAGAGAGAGAGAGAGAAGAAGAGATGGACGGAGCGCCAGAGAAAGAGAGAGAGAGAGATGGCAGGCGCCCCTCCAGGAACTCGCGGTGGCCCTCGCCCAGGCCGAACACGCAGGCCTCGCCCCCGCCCGCCGCCGCAGCCCGCGACGGCGCCCCGTCCCACGGCTCCGACCACACCGGCCCGGGGTCGGAACGGGCGCCCGCCTCCCCCCTTCCCTGTGCTGCTGCTCCTCGTCGGACAGGCCCATCCCTGCGCCCCAGCGCCTCGCCATCGTGCCCCTGCATCGGGTCCCTCCCCTCCTCCTCTCTCTTCCTCCCTCCTCCTTGTCCTCCATTCTTCTGCCTGGCACATCGCTCCTCCCTGACGCACCCCGAGACGGGTCGGTAGGGCGGGCCGCACGTTTCGCCTGAGACTCCCTCACCATGATGGATGGAAGAAGGGCCAGCTTCAAAACGTGGCCCTCGCCTTCGCGCCACGCACATGTTTCCAAATTTGCAAGGGGTTCACAGATGGAGGGCGGGCCGTTATCAAAATTTGGCTCTCGCCTTAGAGCCGCAAGAGATTCGCAGACTTAGGGCCGTTCCTTTTCAAAATGTGGCTCTCGCCTTCAGTCTACAACATGTTCCAGGATTCTTATGGTTGTCGTCCCACATCTGGTGTTCTGGGACAGACCAGGATTGCCTGGGCGCGACAGTCACGCTGACTCACAGTGTTGACGTTCCCGAAATTGCACTCTGGCGCGATTGAGGAGCGCCGGGTCGCAACAGTAACGTTGATTCGTAGCGTCGTAGTCCAAGGAATGGTGCCGTGGCACGGTGGAAGATGTTCAGAACGTTGTCTTCCAACGTGGCCTTTCCCGTAGTGAGCATAATTAGATCCCTGTAGGAAGAGGGGACTTGGAGGGAGGATTCCTTGCAGCATCGTGGATGAGTCTTGGGTAAACCCTGGTCCCTGATCCTCTTCATCCTGGTCCTCCTCCAACGCAGACGGCGACCACCTGTAGACCACTCAGCCCCCCTACCCCGTACTACCCCTAATTGCGACGCTCACGCTGCAACACAATTACCACGGACGCGACCGTTGCCAAAAACACAAGCCCTATCGAGACGGTGGGCTGGCGAGGGGGGCGGCGGGTTGGGTGCAGTTGGACTTCAGCCACAAGACGCCCCTTGAAGAAACCCTTGTGCGTTCAGGGGCGTTCCGGTGCATACAAGGCTCGGCTGGCGCGCACGACTGCTGAAGTGAGGCTTGACTCGGCGCACACACCCCGCGCACATCGTGTCTCATGGACCTTCAGGGATGGATGCGGCTGGGGTGTCTGAACTGGCTGGGACCGCAGAAAGTCGGTCTGGAGGGGGGACGAAGCCACAAATCCGCGCAAACTCGGCCCCCCGCCCTCTCCAGGGGTCCATCTGGCGACGTGTTCCGCCCCGGATCCATGTTTGACGGTCCTGGAGCTCGAAAGCGGCCCTGGAGTCAGGTCTGGCATGTGCTCCTACAGACGGATTTTGGACGAAAACCAAGAAATGCTCCCAAAAGGCTAAAAATAACCAAAACATAAAAGAAGAATCGCCCCCAGACTATTTCGCGACAATGTTTGAATATTCCTCCTGTAGAGGGACACGCCCAACTTAACCCTGGAGCCTGAAAGAGGCAAGAAACTTTCACGAACCCAGCGCCAGGACTCTGCCCGCCCTGCCTGCTGACTGCCGACGGGACCAGCGCTGGACCACCTCAGACACCCAGATGGCTACAGGCCTCAAGACAGCTCAGTGGAGCCTTGATTTCGCATACCTCTCACGAACGTAATGCTACACCACAGTGGAAGCACATGCCCACAACCACCCTGCTTGCCTCCAGGGTGCCCTGGGCTTCGTGTACTTCGATGGTTTTGCTATGAAGAGCGTGACGGTCCCACACACACGCACAACAAAAAAATATCAATAGACGCGCTGGGGTCTGAGAGTTGGGTTTCTGATGAAAGGTTGTGGTCGAGCTCATACTGTAGACGGACTTCCACAGGACGACTCGTGGCTGGAGGCGGCATCCCTGGTGGTGGCGGTTTCGCTGTTCGTCTTCCGATCCCGGTGCCAATGCAAAACGAAGCCAAGACGAGGCTAAACTCGGGTGATGATGAATCGCGATTCTCTGAGATCTGGCGGCGCCGCAGCCTCTTCAGAGCGCTTTCTGGAACGCTCTGAGAGCGTTCCAGAACGCTCTGGAACGGATTTGTCCTCGTTCTAGCCCCGCCCGACAATGTGGACGCCCGAAATGGGCACGGAAATAATGGGTACAATGCCCAAGAGCAAATGCTGTCCCAAACCAACAGCGGCCACTGTTGGGCAGGCGGCCTTCTGTCTCAAACGGACACAGGCCGCGGCGACACTGACAGCGAGCCCTGTTCAAAATGAACAGGAACTGCTGTTGGGCATTCGGCCCACTCTTTCCGTAGATATTTCGTTGGTGCCGAATATATTTCGTCGCCCGACCTGACTACCTACCAGACCACCCCAACCCAACCCGAAGACCCGAATCTCGGGTTGGGGAGGGGGCTACGGATTCCACACGTGTTTTCTCAACGTTCCTCGACACCCCCCCCACCACTGGAAATGGAGGGCAAATTGGAGCCTTCGGGTTGGGTTGGGGTGGTCGTACCTAAGTCTTTCCGTACCAATGCCGTTCGTGCCGGGACGATGCCAACCTCTTGGAGAGCCGGGGGTGCCCTGGCAGGGTGCCGATGGCCCCCTGGCGCGGGCCTCCACTGCGGCATGCGGCGGCCCGCTGCGGGACTCGCCGAGCCTCGACCAGCTCGGCCCCGGACTGGAGGGGGCAATGACAGGATGGGGCCCCAGGACACACAAATAAACACACACACAAACAACAGTACTCCCACTAGTTTACGATGTTTTTTTAAGGGTTTTCGGGGGTGGGGGGGAACATCGCCCTGGAATCGGTACATCCCCCCCATGGGCCGCTCCCCCTCTAACCTTGCCCCTGGAGCACCTCTCTCGGAGCGCGTGCTGGCCATGCTCTCGGGGCTGATCCAGCAGCGGCAGCAAAGGGGGGCGGGGGGCAAGCTGCCCCTTCTCCGAATGGCGGGAGGCGAGCGCGCAAAAGCCCCAGGTCGTCGGCGTCAGCGTCGTCGCCGCTTGACCAGGTCTTTTCTGGACCCCACAGGTCTCGAAGGTCGGTCTCGCAGGTCCCACAGGTCGTCCACAGATACCACAGATCTGACAGGTTCCACAGGTCCCACAAGTATCGCAGGCCCCACTTGCCCCACAGTTCCCCAGGTCCCACATGTGCCGCATGTCTCACATGTCCCTCACAGGTCCCACAGAGGACCCCAGGGTCCCCCGAATCCCAGAGGTGTCGCAAATCTCACAGATCCCACAACTCCCCCAGTTCCCAAAGCCCCAAAGATCCACAATTCCCACATGCCCCGCAGGTCCCACAAGTCCCACAGGCCACAGAGGCCGCGCCGCTTCCACGGATCGCACAAGTCCCACAGTTCCCACTGAACCCCCACAGGTCTCACAGGTCGCCTTTGCTGCTATGAGGGTCCTTTGCTGGGGTATTGGAAATCCAAGTTGCAACGAATGGGAAGGGATGGGACGGAGGGATACGATGAAAGATGTGGCGCGAGCCCAGCTTGCCTCTCTCCTATCCTCAGCCTCTCTCCTTTCAGTCCTCGTCCTCCTCCTTCTCTTCTTCCTCCTCTTCCTCCTCCTCGTCTTTCCTCCTCCTCCGCCTCCGCCTCCTCCTCCTCCTCCTCCTCCTCCTCCTCCTCCTCCTCCTCCTCCTCCCCCTCCCTGCGGGTGCTACGGTGGGTCATGCAGTGCGCAACACACACCTGTGGGCACCAGTGCGGAGGAGTCAGTGTAGCATCATGAGATCACACAGGGGCGTGGCACTTAAAGCCTGGGTGGAATGAGTACGACACTGATTGTTGGGCAGCGTTCATCCTCCCCCATCTCCTCGTCATTCCCCCCTCCTCCCCCCCTCCTTCTCCTCATTCCTCCTCCTGCCACTCCTTTTCCTCCCTCCCCACCCTCATCCCCCCCTCCCCAAACATCCGACGTCGTGCTTTTTCACAACGGGGACGCCTGGAGGTCTATACCGTTTCCTCGGGACAGGCTGATCATCCCGGGTCTCTTGACAGTCCCTAGGGCCCAGCGAGGGCCCCCCCGAGCCGAAAATTGCCAGAAGTCGCGCGTCGTGCTGTCTCTCTTCGCAACGAGAAAAGGTGTGGGTCCCTCCTCCCCCTCCCTGCCCTAATCCCCCTCCCCATTCCCTTCCTCCCTATTCCCTCTGCCCCTACGATTTCCCCTCCCTACCCCCCCTCCCCCGCTCCTCTCCCCACCTGCTCACCCCCCATATCTCCCCCCTCTACTCCCCCCTCTGCTTTCCCCTCTGCTCCCCTCTCCGACCCCCCCCTAACCCTCCACCCCTCTCCTCCTCCTCTTGCTCCCCCCCGCCCCCCCCAGGCCTGCAGAGACGCCACCCCGCCAAAGCCGTGGCCCGCGAAGAGCTCGCGGAAGCGCCAGAAGGCGCCATGCGCGGGAGACCGACGAGAGGGATGAGAATCGAGCAGGAAGCATAACAAATCGAGGATCGAGGATCGGGGGCGGCCAAGAGGGGGGCGTCCAAGGGGGGGGGGGCGCGATTCATGGCCGGCGGCACGTGCGCGGCCCAGGGGGGGACCAGGGACGTAGTGAAAGAACAAGAGGCGCCATGACATCTGAGGAACTGTCATGGCCCACGCCATGACATCCCCCCCTCTAGTCAGCACCCCCCAAGGGCTCCCAACTTCGCGCTGCGCGCTGCGCGAAGTGCGAATAACTTCGCGCTCTCTCGCCGCCTCCCAGGGGAGAAGAGGAGGATGAGGAGGAATCGGAGCCGAACCGCGAAGCGCGAATAACTTCCCGCACTCGAGGGCGCCCGTGTAATCATCGCCCCTCGCCTTGGCCGCCCCCGCGAGGAAGGAGGAGCGCCACCGACACGGGAAGATTGCACCGAGACTCGAGCAGGCAGCCAGAAGGAATCGGGGATCGAGGAGGGAGCGGCGGGACCGGCCCGGGAGGATTGCACCGAGGCTCGAGCAGGCATGGAACCATCGGGGATCGAGCAGGGAGATCGGCGCGGGGGGATTGCCGAGGAGAAGCGGGATCGGCGCGGGAGGATTGCACTGAGGCTCGAGCAGGAAGCGACGGGGCCGAGGCTCGAGGAGGGGGGGGCGGCATCGGCGGGCGCGGGAGGACCACCAGGGACCGAAGAGGAGGCCAGGGATCGAGGATCGAGGAGGGAGGAGCGGGAATCACCGAGGATCGAGCAGGAGGCGAAAACTCGAAGAGCGAAGAGGGAGGAGCCAGGACCGACTCGGGAGGATTAGCAGGCGCCGAGCAGGAGACGCGGCGAAGCGACCGCCGGAGACGTGGGCGCTCCGCCGGGGTCAGACAGCAGCTCACGGGAGCGTCAGCTTGTCCCTCAAAGGGCGTCATTGGGCATTGGGCGCCATTTGGCCACGAGCGTCGCTGTTGAACGCTACACGTCGGTCGGAAGAAGTAGGTAGAAGCATGAAGTAGGAAGGCGGATATCGTAGATTGGGCCCAGGCCCTCCCATAGAATAACAAAACACAGCAAAAGCGTGTGGACCCTTGAAGTAGGAAGGCGCTTGAAGTAGATTGTGATCTGGGAATCCAAAAAATACATACTTTCAGCGACTGGCGTGTATTGGGCATTATTAGGTGCGCTATTAGGCGCGATTCGGCGATGTCCAATCAAGGCAAGACGACCGGAAACTTTGGTGACTATCTAACCCATGCCCCTGATAATCACAAGGTGTGGATCATAAAACTTGGGTTTCGGGGGATCTTATGTATTTATCCCAGCAGCTCGTTTACACGACGACTTGTTAGTAATGTAAAGCAATGTCCTGCGAGCTCTGGCGGGGCCTCCTTGAAGAGTCGGAGGAACACGAAACCTGAAATGGGTAGCTGTAATCCGCCGGCTCCCTTGTGGGGCCACCAGGCTGTAGGGCTAAGGTTCGCAGTTTCCTGTACCAGTTGCAGCTTCCAGTTTCCACTGTGACAATTCTGCTTCTTACTGCTTACTGTTCCTTGTTGACTTCTTGCTGCTTACTGTTCCTTGTTGATGGACCGCGCGAAGGGGGGAGGCCCAAAACGGGCATTTTACAACGGAAAAAACGTATTGTCTGAATTGCTGGGGTGCGAAAAAATTGACACCCCTCACGCAGATCGGCGGGGTCAGGGTCCAAAAACTCATGGGATGTGCCACATTTCTGAGATTTGGCCGCACCCCTCAGATTGGCGGGGTCAGGGTCCAAACACACATGGGATTTGCCACATTTCTGAAATTCGGTGACACCCCTCACGCAGATCGGCGGGGTCAGGGTCATGGGATTTGCCACATTTCTGAAATGTGCTGGCACCCCTTATGCAGATCGGCGGGGTCAGGGTCAACAAACACATGGGATTTGCAACATGTCTGACATTCGGTGGCACCCCTCACGCAGATCGGCGAGGTCAGGGTGCGAAAACGCATGGGATTTGCCACATTTCTGAAATTCGACGGTACCCCTCAACCAGATCGGCGGGGTCAGGGTCCAAAAAAATAGGGGATTTGCCACATGCCTGACATTCGGTGGCACCCCTCATGCCGATCGGCGGGGTCAGGGTCAACAAAAAAATTTTGGATTTGCAACATTTCTGGAATTCGGCGGTACCCCTCACGCAGATTGGCAGGGTCAGCGTGCAAAAACTGAATGGATTCACCACATTTCTGAAATTCGGCGGCACCCCTCACGCAAATCCTCCGTAGGGTCGGGTCCAAAAAAACATGGGATTTGCCACATTTCTTCTGAAATTCGACGGCACCCCTCACGCAGATCCGTAGGGTCAGGGTCGAACAACAAACAGGTCCCGACACTGCTGCACGGCGGCGCCCAGACCTCATGATTTAGCTTTTGCATCTCCCATTATCCGAGAGAAGGGTCTGGCGGCAGGGGGCAAAGCCCTTACGGATAATGAAGCCCCGTATAGCTCTGCCACACGTTCTGACTTGGGAGAACTGAAATGAATAGAATCCCATAGGCCTGCCACGGGATCGTGACTAGGGAAAGCTAAAATGATGATATTCCCATAGCCCTGACACGCGCTCGTGAGTTAGGAAAGCTGAAACGGTGAGAATCCCATAGCCCTGCCGCACGCTGGTGATAGTGCTACTACTCAACACAAGAGGATCGCGACTTCGATTCGTAATTTCCCTTGCGATCACGAAGTTCGTCCCCGCCGCCCCTTTGCCCCGACCAGCTCTGCCTTGGCCCAAGACAGTCAACTCTCAGGGGGGTATGCTTCGTTATCCGGGGTGCTCGGTGTCAACTTGAAGGGAGCCCGCCCGTGACCATCAGGGCATGGCGTGGAGGCCGTGGCCTCGAGAATGTGAGTTTTGGACCTGCCGGTCCAGACGGCGGCGGCGCCGAGGCGGCGACGGCGGCAACACAGCCGCCAGAGCGACAGGCACAGCTCCCTGGATGAGAAGTAAGACCCCCTAAATTTTGGACGCCCGAAATGGGCACGGAAAGAATGGGTACAATGCCCAACAACAAATGTTGTCCCAAACCAACAGCGGCCGCTGTTGGGCAGGCGGCATTCTGTCTCAAATGGACACAGGCCACGGCGGCGCGGACAGCGAGTCCTGTTCAAAATGAACAGGAACTGCTGTTGGGCATTGTGCCCATTCTTTCCGTACCCATTTCGGGCGTCCAGGTAAGTGCAAGCACTCTCTGGGGAGAAAGACGGCCCTACGCTATCACAACATTACTTCACTAAACATAACATAACACAAACTAACAGGATCGAACATCATCGAACCTACGAGTCTTGACGACACTAACAAACAACACCAGCCGAATGCTGGAATATATAGGGGCAACGCTCACGGCCCGCCCAAGTGCCGGGCCAGCTGAGACGAAAGCGACTCTCCCGCCGGGCCCGAACACGCCAAAAGCGGTTCCCAGACCACTCCCAGGCTCCACCGTGACCCTATTCTCGAGGCGCATCTAGGGGGCCACATGCTAACCCTACCCCTACCTACCCCTACCCCCTTCGCTCGGGAGCTCCCGAACGAAGTGAGCCCCACCTTCCCCCTAAGAAATCGTCGGGGGAAGGAGTAGGGTTCGCATGTGGCCCCCTAGCATCCAGCCGTGGCGACGAGGTCTCCGACAGCCTCCAGACAGAACACAACCATCGGTAGCGAGCCCGGCAAGGACGTGAGAGGGGGCAGGCATTCCCGAAGGCGGCGGGGCTTCTCATAAACCCGTGGCCTCCTGACAAGCCGTCATCTGTCCTCAGAGAAGGCTCGGATAACTTCCCAGAAGGCCCAAACTTGAGCAGGGGCCGACCGTCCCGGCATTCCTGTAGCCTTACCACGACATGTTCTTAGAACCCCAAAATGTTCTAGGAACAAAAACAATGTTCTTAGAACATAACCCGATGTGCTAAACCAAGAGCATTCCCAGCCAGAAATGTTCTAAGGACATTTCGTGGCAACCACACGCGGTTCTTAGGACACTGTTTGGCAGGACTCTCGGCGAGCCAGGACGCTTCGCCACTGCTCGACAAACCGCTCCCAGGGCGCATCAAGCCTGGCGAGCGTATCCGCACCCGCGCCCTCGCGGTCGGCATCCCCGGGCGCGACCCCGCGGAGGCGCGGTCGAGCGGGTGCGTTCCGTGGTGGGGCATCTGCGAGAGGACGCCCCGCGTGTCCGCGGGGCTCGCGGCCCGGGGGCCCGGCCCGCAGGGTCGAGGATCTGTTCTTCGGGGAGGGGGCGTGGAGGCGGACCCGCAGACACCCAACACAGCGAAAAGCCTTCCCCGCTCGTGATTTCTTCGAGACGCGAGGGGGTCTGGGTCCCGCTCGTCACTGGCCCTCCCCGCCAGGGGGAGGGGGAGGATCGAGGAGGAATCGAGGAGGGGGATCAAGGGGGAGGATCGAGGAGGAGGAGGAGGAGAGGAGAAGGATCGAGGAGGGGAATGATGGGGAGGATCGAGGAGGAGGAGGATCGAGGAGGAGGAGGGTCGAGGAGGAGGAGGATCGAGGAGGAGGAGGAGGAGGAGGAGGGGGAGGATCAAGGAGGAGGAGGGGGAGGATCAAGGAGGGGATCACGGAGGAGGGGGATCGAGGAGGGGGATCGAGGAGGGGAGGATCGAGCAGGGGAGGATCGAGGAGGAGGATCGAAGAAGCTGGGGCGACCCCTTCCGGAAGTGCTCGGCGCGTCCAGCGGCCACCTGGCGGCCCGCCGCGGCGCGCCTCCCCCTCTGCCTCTTCCCCCTCCTCCTCTGCCTCTTCCTCTTCCGCCTCCTCCTCCTCCTCCTCCTCCTCCTCCTCCTCCTCCTCCTCCTCCTCTGCCTCTTCCCCCTCCTCCTCTCCTCCTCCTCCTCCTGCTCCTCCTCCTCCTCCTCCTCCTCCGCCCCTCCCCCTCCCCCTCTTACTCCCCTTCCTACCCCTCCCCCTCCTACCCCTGCCCCCACCACTTGCGCTGTCCCCTGAGGCGGCCCGACTTGCAGCCAGGAGGGCCAGGAGGTCGCCCAGACCCCCTCGCGTCGTGCAGCGACGGACAAGACTTCGCTATGTTTGGCTTCCGAGGGCAACCCGCTCGGGAGACGAAGCCAGCCCACAGGAAAGGGGCGGCCCCACGGTGTAACCAACTCATGGCGACGGGGGTCTGGGACCGCAGGCCTAGACCGATCCTGGTCTGGCCCCACCTGGATCCAAGCTTGCTGTGTGCGTCATTCTGACCTGACCGGCAAAGCATCTGCACCGTCGGGGATGGACAGAACCCCCTCAGAAACAAGTGGTTTAGGAAAATGGCCTCGGGCCCAAACCTGGCGGGCTGAGGCCCGGAAAAGGACGGCCGCGGCGCCCTCTCGAGAACCGCAAACGGACAATTCATGAATCGACGTGTCGGGGTGGTGCCGTCCACCCCCGACGCCGATCCTGGACCCAGGACTGGCGTCCGTCGACTGGCGTCCCCGAAGATTGGCCAGGCTGAGTACCTGGGACCGCGGAACGTCCATGATCAGCGCCCGCCAAGAGGCGATGACAGAGGGATGCCGGGGACGGAGGCCTCGCGGGGACATGGTGCTCGACTTCTTACTCGGCGTTCCGCCAGTGGCAGAACAACGAGTCAGAAAACGACGACCTGGGCGGGTTCCAGTGCTGTTGCGTCTGCGCTCCTGAAGAAATCTGGGCGCTCATCGATGGCCAGGGCCCAGGAGCGGGGAAATGCGGTGTGGAGGGGGAGGACGACTGAGGCGGGAGGAGGGAGAGGATCGAGTCGGGAGTGGAGGATCGATCGAGGGGGGGTGACCTGCTGTTTGGTGACCGTGTTGCGGTATCTAGCGACAAGGATGGTGGGGTTGGGCTCTCTGTTGAAGCCCGTGTCAATCTGGAGCTTGGGTTCCTCGGCGACCATGATGCCGAGGGTGGATTCCAGCCTCGCGATCTCCTCGAGACCTTCGGCATGTTGCTCCAGTCGACCCTTACGATTCTCAACCAACTGAACCGGTACGTCTCTCGATCTGGGACCCGAGTGAGTCGAGACCAGAGTGGGCAGCATTTCCCATGGAACTGAACTGGTTTTTTGAAACCGTTGATGGCCACCATGGTATCAGACTTCGCGTGGTCCACATACTCACGCAACTTGTGAATGGACTGCTCGGGTTCGGGGAAGGTTGGCGGCTCATCCGAGAGAAGCTCGTCGTCGTGGTCGCGTCGCGCAATATTGTGGGGAGGAACAGACTGAGGGCAAGCCAGAGAACCAGCGGCCGCAGCGCTTGCAGAAAAAGAAGAACGACCTTTGCCTGCCATCGCGTCGTTCGATGCAGAGAGCCTGGCTTTGCAAGACAACACTCACACGCGGGGTGAACAGGAGAAGCTGGAATAGTGAGGATGCTATTGCACCCTCTTGGGCGACTGAACGTCATTTCGAAAAAGAGTGAATCGCCAGAGAAATGGGAGGGTCAGGGGACCTGGGTTGCCTCAGCCACCTCGAGATGGTTTACTTGAACCAAAATGGATACGGACCTCCTCTTCCTCCTCCTCCTCCTCCCCCTCCTTCTGCTCACATTCCTCATCCCTTTCCTCCTCGTACTCCTCTTCCTCATCCTCCTCCCCCTCCTCCTCCCCCTCCTCCTCCTCCTCGTCCTCCC